TTCTTAAGCGACAACCTTTGGAGGCAAGACTTCCAGTTTTCAGAGGTACTTGGATGTAAACATGCATAATACCCCATTGTTGTTGCTGTTGTTTTGCAAGAGAAGAGCTGAAGAAGATAAATCCTTTTGTAAACAGCAAACCTGTCTTCCATACAAAGTATGACCTTTTACAGACCCATTATTTACTTTTGCCTGATGGCTTTTCCCCATCTGCTCCACACTATATTCATACATATTGTTTTTTTTTAAAATGGGATTCATTGTTATGGTTCCTAGTTATGGGAATGCCAATCCATTGTCTTCTAGGAGGGAGAGGTTCCTGTTCCAGACCCCAAGTAAACAGGGGAGAATATCTGACTTCACCTCCCTCCAGTTTCTTGTGGTATATTTATGCTGCTGCCAGCTGTCAACTTTTTATCAGATTCTTCTCTTTTCTTCCTTGCTACAAATTAGAAATGCAAAACAGTTTGGCCCGGGAACTCATTCCTCTTTTCTGGGCTCCATTCAGCTTCCAGCTCCACTCAGCTTCCATTCAGGAAGTTCTGAGCTCCGCGCTTCAGTTTTATCAGCAATCGCTTGCACGCAACACTCGCGTTCCCCTTTAACTGCACGGACCTTCCCCAACTCAGTGGTTTAGGTCTTCGGCTGCAGACCGAGAGGTTGGGAGTTCGATTCCCTGCTGTGCATTGCAGGAGAGCTAGTCTGCGTAGCTTTGGGCAAGCTGCAAAGTCCCAGGGCAGGACAGAAGGGAATGGTAAGCCAGTTCAGAATATTCTCTAACTAGAAATCCCTGAAAAGAGGGTTGCTGTAAGTCAGAACTGACTTGAGAGCGCATGATTATTATTTACCAATAGCTTGAAAAATGCTGCCATCACTTTAGATGCAAATACGAATCCCTTCCTCTGATCTCTTCTATATATATATATGATCTCTTTTCTATGCTGGAGCACATAATGCACAACAAAGTGCTTCCAAACCAAGGAACGGTACTTGTAGACCGACACTGTGAATGGAAACAGGGGAAATTGTAATGTGTGGACATGGGCTGAGCAGGATTCCTTTCCTTCTTTTTTGCAAAAAAAAAAAAAAAAAAAAAAAAAAAAAAAGCATTTGAGCACCCACCTCCAAACCTCCAAAATAAAAAGCCTGCTGGTCCCCAAGACTCAGAGAACCCCAAGAAGCTCTTGCTTCTGCCAAAGGAAGCTTATTGTGATGCACAATGAGTCTGAGCATTTGGGGGGGGCGTTGGGGAGTTTGGGGGGGGGGGGGAGAGGAGAGAGCCAAGAAATGCAAGGGGTCACCAGACTGGCTAAGGTTCACGTAGAAGTAGCCTCCGGAAAGAATGTCCTGAGTTCTTAGAACTGCAGAACTGGAAGGGATCTGATGGTTCATCGAGTCCAGCCCTTGTCAAAGAGGCCCAGCGGGGAATTGAACTCCCAACCTCTCGCTCCGCAGCCTGATGCCTCAACCACTGAGCTCTCCAGCAGTTATGGGGACTGTGAAGGAATCCGGATGTCTGCCAGCAGCGACAGAACCCTATTGGCTGATCCTTCCACTTCAGAAGAACCACTCAATTGGTTCTGATACAAATTATGATGGAGAGGACAACAAGACTAGGTCCTATTTTTTCTCTGTCTGTGGTCAGCTACACAGAGCTTTCACACGGTTATGTGCGCAATGGAAACATTTCCCTTCCACTGGTACACATCAAGATAGCCAGTGTGGTTTAGATTGGAGCTTTATTTACAACCTCGCATGCTGCCTGTAGTTTGTTTGGGCTGGGAGGGACCTTCCTCCTCTGGAGTGACTGAGAATCTATCCAGCACTAACCAATCATTCCTTCCCTGCCTCTGATTCAAAGAGAGCCCTGCCTCTCTGCTCCGTGTCATTTCTCACTCTTTAGTGTTGGAGCCAGCACTGCAAGTTCGCCTGTTTGCTGTTGATCTGTTCACAATTGTAAGTAATGGAACATTTTTGTTCTCTCTCCTACAAATGTCTCAGGATTACTGAGACTGTAAGTGCCCGTTCATGAGACTGGAGAGGTGGATTATCTCTGAGTTCAAGTCCTTGCTCAATTATGGAAACTCGCGGGCAGTCGTGAGCCACACTCCTGCCTGAAAGACCCTATTGTATCAGAAGCAACTTAACCAGATAATGTATTTCAGCACAAGTCTATGGCCCAGTCTGAAGTCTGGGTTGGAACGAATGTCACACACCATTGTCCATCACCCAGTTCAAATCCCAAAGATGCCACTTACTCATAGCAACCAATAGAAGGAGAGAAAAAAACAACAACAAGGGAGCCATATGTAAGCCACTCTGAGCTCTTTGGTGAAAATGCCAAGTGCAAGTGAATACATATATAAATACATAATCATTCCATAGAAGAGCTTAAGAAATCAGGCCCTGGCATCCAGGCAAACATTCCCTTCATTATCATAAGAGGCTGCACATGCTCTTCGTAAAAGGAGGTGGGAGGGGGCATGGGGGGGCGTGCGGCGTGCCTTTTTGTGCCAAGAAGCAAAAACTACAAAAAAAGAGCTGGGTTTTATGACCTGAAAAATTATGCCGAGCAGCATTTGTGTGTGTTTGTGTGTGCATGCAATTTGCATGGTTTATTTTCCTTCTGTACACCCCAGTGAAGGACAAAAAGAGCTGTGGAAGAATGGAGTCTCCATTTTCTAAATGCTGGAAGGCCAGCTCAAACTCTACCGTCCTTTCACCAGGTACAGAAAGATAGTCTGGGAAATCATGTTTTGGTCACTTCCTGTTACATCTTTCGGGTGGGAGAGAAGATACAGTAAAAGTTCCCCTTGACATTTAGTCCAGTCATGTCTGACTCTAGGACACAGTGCTTATCCCCGTTTCCATGCAGTAGAGCCAGCGTCTGTCGGAAGACAATTCTCCGTGGTCACGTGGCCAGCGCGAATACAATTCTCCGTGGTCACATGGCTAGCGTGACTAGATACAGAATGCAGTGACCTTCCCACTGAGGTGGTACCTCACCCTGTCACGTGGATTCGATCTAACGACTGCTGGTCTTCTGACCTTGCAGCACAGAGGCTTCTGCTGTTTAACCAGAGTTCAGTTTAGTCAAGCATGGAAATAAAGCCCCCCCCAACTGTCCCAAAGGCTTATTTTGGAACAATGGGTCAATATAAGCCAAATCCATGCATTCATAATCTGTTCTGCTAAATCGGGCCCAAAGGATTTTAAAAAAAATCCAGACTCTTCTTCCTGGCAACGGAACAGCAAAGCTATTTCTAAGAAGATGAAAACCAAGGTACACAGGTACTGGCTGTTTCCTGCCTGTCCTTGGCAGCTCTTGGGGAGTGGTATCGACAAAGGTACACTGCTCCTGGATGTGGAGGTTCCACGCCTACCACTATCGGCTCTCTGTCCTGTCTTCCCATGCAGAGGCTTTTTTCTCCTCCATATCCCAGGGGAAATGATTCGGAGAGAAAAAGATATTAATAGAACATTGTGACGCCCGATCCCACCACGGCTCCCTTCTCCTTCCCTTCTTTTTCACCCCATAGTTTGAGAAGGTTGTTGTTAGGATTTTGTGTACATGAATCTTCCTCTCCCTCGCCTTCCCCTCCCATCTGTTCCGAAAACAGGCTGACATTTAAAAAACAGGGAGAGGAAAGAACGTCATGTTGCAGTTACCCATACGGAGAGAGCTCGGGCTTGGAGTCTATAGGAACTGGCGCTTGCAAAAAAGCAGGACAGTGTGACTTTTTAAACACTTGCCAAAATCTAGCACGAGGGACAAAAAACCACAAGCGGCATATGTTGCCGTTAAATTGCGAGATCCGAGCGGATGGAGACAACGGGCTCCAGAAAAGAGAGACGAACAGTCCTGGGCAGGATCCATGCAGGAATTTTTCTTTCTTTCTGATCTTTCCCTCCCCCTCACTTCTCTCTGCAAGGCCCCAATCCGACCCTCTTCTTTCGTAGCCCATGGGGACCCAGAGTGTTCCGCAAGTAATGCCACAGGTTCAGAGTGGAACGGCTACCCAAGGCAGGTCTGGGAAAGCTTGGTGGGCGAAAGTGGAGAGGTAGCCCTGATTATGGCCTATTTTGAAATCCTAGCATTTCAGTGCTTGGACGAGCTGCTCCTAGCGCACTGTGGAAAAATCAAGGCTAAACTTTTCAACAGGCAAAGGACCTTATCTCCATATGCCTCCCTGTGTATATGTGACCTAACTCCCTTCTTTCCACCTCAGTTCATTTCGCTTCACCGAAGTGGGTTGGCTTTGGTTGCTTCCAACAAAAACAGAGGAAGCCATAATGATTCAAAGATTTCCTGAACTTTTTGATGAGGGCAGTAGACAAAGATACACCTTAACAAAGCTTGGGAAAGTGGCTTCTTCAGATGAATGCTCCAACGCTAGGTAGTTCTGGAAAGCTGTAATATCTGGCATAAACTCTCCCAAACCTTGTTGCCCTGGTCATGAAGCCGTATGATCAAAATGAGAAGCCACATCCAGAAGAACCCAATACTATTCCTCTTGAATCATGTGAACTGAGCTTCAGCTTACAAGCTCTGAGCATGAATGTTTGAGAACATGCCGTAGTTATTCCCAGACAGCGTTCTGCTTTGGTATGACTTTCAGTTCCTTCCCAGAGGTAGCTCGGTTTGCTGCTTCTCGTCACGAGGACTGAGATGTGAAAAGGCCCTTGAAACACCCCTCATCATTCAAACGTTGTTATGGATCATGCCAAACCAACAGAAAACCAAGGAGGAGCAGAGTCTCAGCAGAGGAACCTCAAATTAACACGGAAGGACTAATGAATCAGCCAAACTGAGACAAAGATGCTTTGAAACCAAGCCCTCTCCGGATAATTTTGTACAGAAATCTGTGAAACCTAATGAAAACATTATCCATCCTCACGGCGTTGTGACCTGCGCCGACCTGGCTCCCAAAATCAGTGACCTGTTTGAAAAATGAGCCAAAAAATATGGAATAAGAGGCAGAGAATCCAAGGAAGAATACCTGGTGATGCTCTGGTGACTTTTCCCGTCATTCTGATCTCCGCTTTCCTTCCATCTCTCGGCTGGCACTTTGGAACTGCAGGAAATGAGATGATTAAACACAAGCTGTATGGGCAATGATGTTGTGATTATACTCTGAAGACTGCTAATAACACACACACACACATATATTGCATTTTTAATGGTGCAAAGCACTTCATATATAGCAGTGGTCCCCAACCTTTTTAGCCCCGTGGACCGGCTGGGGGAGGCAGGGCACCCCCCTGCGCTTGTGCGAATGTTTGAAGAAGCACATCTCTCTCTCTCTTGCACATGCTAGTGTGCATGCGCAAAGGGTGGAGCAGCGCTCATGCAGGCACTCGCTCATGCTCATGCACAAATGGCTGCGCAGTACTCATACGGGTGCACTCATGCGCAGGTGCAAACAGGCTGTGCGGGGGCGAGTGTGTGTAGGGGTGGGAGGAAGGTCTCTCTCTGCGGCCCGGTGCGGCTCAGGCCACGGACCGGCACCGGGCCATGGACCAGGGGTTGGGGACCTCTGATATATAGGGTCTAGTTGTCATAATCACAACAGCCATGCTACACACACACACAGAGAGGGGGGGCACACAAACCATGTTGATTACTAACAATTTATAACTCTTTGCTCCTTTTTAAAACATGTATATAATTATTTAATGATTTCTGTGGTTGCTCCCAAGATTTGGAATGCACGACCCTGAGAAGCCAAATTGGACACATCCCTTTTGCATTTCTGTTGTCAGACAAAGACCTTCCTCTTCAGGCTGGCTTTTAAGCGATAAGTATTCTATTTGCCAGGAGCTGATGGGACCAGTGGCCATGATCTTAGGTTTTTTTCGTTGTTTTTTTTTTTATGTTGAGCTTCAGACCATTTTTGGTGCTCTCCTCTTTCACCCTCATTAAGAGGTTCTTTAAGTCGTCCTCTCTTTCTGCCATCAGAGTGGTATCATCTGCATACTGGAGGTTATTAATATTTCTTCTGGCAATCTTAATACCGGCTTGGGATTCCTCCAGTCCGGCCTTTCGCATCATGTATTCTGCATATAAATTAAATAAACAGGGGGGCAATATACAGCCTTTCGGACTCCTTTCCCAATTTTGAACCAGTCAGGTGTTCCATATCCAGTTCTAACTGTTGCTTCCTGTCCCACATATAGGTTTCTCAGGAGATAGATAAGGTGGTCAGGCACTCCCATTTCTTTAAGGACTTGCCATAGTTTGCTGTGGTCCACACAGTCAAAGGCTTTTGCATAGTCAATGAAGCAGAAGTAGATATTTTTCTGGAACTCTCTGGCTTTCTCTATAATCCAGCTCATGTTAGCAATTTGGTCTCTTGTTCCTCTGCTCCTTCAAAATCCAGCTTGTACTTCTGGGAGTTCTCAGTCCACATACTGCTGAAGCCTACCTTGTAGGATTTACACCGACCCTAATAGAATCAAGATATTGTATTTAAGGAATGGTTCTACCAGTTCCACACACATATATACATGAGCTTCTATGAGCAAGCAAGGATTCAACTTCAGATCTCCTGAGTCTTAGTCTGTCACTCTATCCACAGTGGGTATTTCAGTAAGACTTACATCTGAGTAATCATGGTTAGGATTGAAGGCTTCTTCATTGCCTTTGGCTCACTTGCGATAGAGTAAGTCTCACTGAACTCAATGGGGCTTCCTTTTGAGTAGACATACAGGGTTGTATTATAATGTTGTTAGCCTACTTTTTAGAAATAATGTATTCTGCATTATTCACTCACATACCCTGCCTGCTTCTTAAAAAGGAGGTGAAATTAAGGGGTGGAGGGGGGGTGGAATAGGCTCCCAGTGGACAAGTAAAAAATTCAGGAATCGCAACCAGGAGGGGGAAAGAAGATAAATAATTTAGCACTAAGAATAACTGAAGCCTGATAGTTTGCCAGCACTAGGAGAAAAAAAAGTGTTACAAGAATTTAACTCCCCCCCCCCCTTTCTAACAGAGCCTCTGGAGAGCTAAAAAAGCAAATACAGAACAAAAAGAGTTCAGAAGTAATGTGCAGAAATAAATTTTGAAGGGAAGGATTAAAATGTGAAAACAATGGCCTGCATGGGTTCCATTAACTAAAAATCAAGTTGGTCTGCACTCTTCAAGATGTCCAGATCTCTCTTTTTTCCTAAAGGAAAAAAAAGCACGCTAGAACTCTGAGATTCCTCAAACAGAGCCTAGTGCAAAATATATAGGCCCATTAGGAAGAAGGGTTTATGGAAAGGACACAATATAGTTTCAGGTACAGAACAGTCCCTTTGTTGCTGCTATTGTTAAATGACTGGGTGACTCGGGAATCTTAGCTGCGCTACTGTGAACTAATCAGAAGTCTTCAAGTAGATCCGTGTCTATCTTCTGCTGACGTTGGATCTCTCTATTAATGTCTTTGCACTTCTTTAAGGAATGGGGAACCATTTCTGAGTGTCCTCTACCTAAAAAACCCTGGAAAGTCAGGGTCAACTTGACGGCATGCATCATGATGGCAAAGCCCAAAGTAAGTCACCCTCTAGAGTAATTATGCACGTGGTTGCAATCATGCCTTGTGAACTTAACTCAGAGATTTTTACTAGCAGCGGGCATGTTTTGGTTTGGCGGTTTCTGTTACATTGTGGAGTTTTAAACCACCACTGTCTCTTTTAAGTACAAAGAAGCACAAAGGTCTCCCTGTGTGTCTCCTGGAGGCATAACAAGGGAGTCTTCTTGGAAGATGAGAAAGTCAGGATGAAGTCTTAACACTTCAAAACTGCCACCACATATATTTTTTTTCAAATCAGCTCTTCCTTTATCTTAAAGTGCTCACCCGGTTCGAATAGATGGTCCCAAGTCTTAATGTTTTTTGAGCAGGGGAAATGAACGGTTGTATTTATGTCTGACTTCTTGAACTCTTCACTCGATTCAAAGATACATCTTTCTTAGCCACCGCATGAGCACAGCTCAGATCAAACAATTATTTTAAAGCCTGGTTTGTAGGCCTCTAAGCTTTATTTAGATTCTTTCCTGCACTATGTAACCTTTAACATGGACTTAATTGCCAGCTACAAACAAATGCATCATTTAGTAATAAAAACAGTTTAATTGGGTCTCTATTAGATATTTAATTGCTTTCAGAATGTTTGTCCAGGAACTCCTTATAAACCTCTGAAAAATACGGCCCCCTAACCCATCTGTGTAAATTCTCAATTCCCTTACGAAAACATACAAAAATTTGCATTCCGCATTTAACTTTTCCATGTGGGCACATCAGATCTTCCAGGGGGTAGGGTCTGTTTATTTTTTGCCCCTCGTTCTTTAATTTTTTTTGTGATGGCCTCCCTTTTAAACCATGTATTTTGTTACAGCTGATAGGTACTGTGGTTTTGAGGTCCGTTTCTGGGTCAGGAGATTTGCAAAGTTTCTCTTTGATTTAGAAACAAAATTAATCTGAAGGCCGTTTTCAGGACCTGCTTTACAAAAGCAGGTTTTAAGCTAAGGAGTTCATATCGTGCATCAACACTGAGGTGCTAGTTCTCCTCTAGTCAGCACTGGCTAGGCCTTATGTTAGAGCACTGTGTCCAATTCTGGACACCGCACTTTACAAAGAATGCCAACAAACTGGAACAAGTTCAGAGGAGGGCAACAAGGATGATCAGGGGACTGGAATCCCAGCCCTAGGGGGAAAGGCAGAAAGAACAGGACATGTTTATCCAAGAAAGAAGAAGACCGAGAGAAGACAGGATAGCACTCTTCAAAGACTTGAAAGACGGCCCTACAGAGGAGAGGCAGGATCTGTTCTCAATCATTCCAGAGTGCAAGAAATGTAATAATGGGCTCAAACTGCAGGAAGCCAGATTTCAACTATCAGGAAAAACTTCCTAACTGTTAGAGCAGCACGACAACGGAAACCATGACCTCGGGAGGTGGTGAGCGCTCCAACGCTGCAGGCATTCAGGAGAAAACTGGAGAACCCTCTGTCAGATCTGCTTTGGTTTAGATTCCTGCCTCGAGCTGGGGGTTGGACTTAATGGCCTTAGAGGCCCCTTACAGCTCACTTATTCTATTACATGATAAACTTTGTTAGTGTTGACGTTCTCGAGGCGGAAACAAACACCTTTCTCAAAACCTGGGTAATGGACAAATTAACTTCCTCCTAATCTTCTATGTATTTATCCCTACAACAATTCCACAGATGGCGAGAGTGACGCCGTCCATATTGCCATCCTGCTCTACTTCCCAAATTTTTGCAAAAATGTGTTTCAAGATTAATTACGCTCCATACACACAGGATGTCCTTCACTATGTCATATCTAGAGATAAGGGGCTATCAGGTATCAGGAATACACCTGGTGCCATTTGATTTGGCTGCGTAGTCTTGCCTGAGTTTGGAAGAAGGAGAAATTGCCCTGAACCGTATAAAATTCTGTGTCTATTCCTCATTCATAAACCACTCAACCTCAGTTTCTCTGGCAAACAGGTGAGTCTAGAGAACTTTTATTAATTCTGTGCCATTACATGATGATCATAACCATTCCTACAGTACACTAACATCTGAGGAGAACTTGATCTAAAATTTTGGAAATGGATTCTATAGCCAATATCTGTAGTTTTGGGGTTTTTTTTGTTTTTTTGTTTTTTTGCAAAGACAACAACTTGTGTTTACCTCAGGATTTATTTGCGTTTACTGAGCAGTACCGTGCTTTAGAGCACGGATTGCCCAAAGCACAAATTTTCCACTAATATAGAAGCTCAGTGCCTTAAAACCTTGCTTACCTCTTTGCGACCATGATAAATGTCCCAGGTGTTTATCTGAACCTGGCCCTTAGATTACAAAGAGGTTCTGGAGGTCAGCTAATGATCCTGTGTCTTTCTGGTGACATAACTTAAAAATGTGGATGGGTAAATAGAACAAACTAAGACAAAGCAGGGCTTTGCCCAGAAAAGGTGTTGAATGGATAGCCCTTGGAGATATTCCAGGTCCAGCTAAGTCCTCTTATCTTGACCCAACGAGATTCTTTCAGGCACAATAGAAGTTTCTTCCAGCCTTATCATTCAAGAACTATT